TAACAAGGTGTGGAGCTGGATGAACATAGCAGGCCAAGCAGCATCAGGGGAGCAGGAAAACTGATGTTTCAGGCTTAGACCCTTCTTCATAAATTACTGAAGGGTCTAGGCCAGAAACGTCAGCTTTCCTGCTCCTCTGATGCTGCTGGCCTGCTGTGTTCATCCAGCTCCACACCTTGTTATGTCAGATTCTCCAGCATCTGCAGCTCCTACTATCTCTCAGACAACTACACCCTGGTTACAAACAATAGCGGGACAAGAATACAAAGCCACTTTTGTAGTCACCCCTTGTACGTGGGTGATTGAATTCAGTGTCCACCCTAGTCATGGGCATGGAGGCCAGTTACACGCAACTAAGTCAGGGATAGCATATTCACAAAAACCGGAAACCAATTAGGCTTTGTTTACAAAAGGCTGCTACATGGACACGGCTAGTGATCTTTATTTCAGATGTTTCAAATTTACAAATTGCTACGTGTGAGCATGGCCCGCATAAGTCAACTTCGCCAAATAAAATGCCTAACCAGAAAGAAAATAAAAGGAATTGAGGGAGGTGTAACTGGAAACTGAAAGTATTTCGTGAGCATTAAAGTGAATAGATTGGATGCTAAACTGAAGAAAGAACAGTTATTGGCAAAGACAGGGATTAGTGAATGGATACTGTAAACTAGGAACTCACTTCTTCTGCCGTCCAAAAAGACGCCTCTGCTTTTTTATACATCCGCCAGATGTCGTGGTATTGTATGGGGAAGATAACAAAACGGCGCGGATTCTCTTTCAGTAAAGGCTCATCGTTTAAATTCGAGTGATCCGTTTCTGATTTCAGCTGAAAATAAAGATTTTTTTTTAAAAAGTTACAAGGCGCTCCTACACAACCGGTTACGAGGTGCGACTGCCTTTCCTTTTCCAGTGAAAAGGATTTGACGCCAGTTACTTCTTCCACTCAAAAAATCTTTTCAAGAAAAAAAAGTGTTAAACTTGCGAGGTTATTTTTAAATATAAAAGATCAGTTCACAAAAAAAAACTGATCCGTCGGGGGAAAACATGTCAAATTTCTTGTAGGGGGCCCAGTCTTTTTTTGGCGCCAGACTGCGTCAGTTACACAAAGGTGTGCTGCGGAGGGACAAGTTTCTTTTTTGTTACACAAGTTTCACATTCAAGATTTATCTACACGAAGATAAACTTACTGATACATCGGCGTCCACCAGAATCTTGCGGGCGGTTTTACTGGCTAAGATCCGAGTACTACTCAAAGAAGGCGGCTGCAGAAAGAGAAACGCACATAAATCAGTTACGTCTACCATCCTTTCAATGCTTTTTGTTCGAATTTAGTGCGGGAAAAAAAAAACTCACCGTTCCATTGCCAACACTCACCGTATTTTCCTTGTCTTCCTTCAAACAGACTTTGCTCATTTGTGCAGAGACGACATTCTCATTCTTGGTAGCGAGGGGTGTGCGGACTGACAACATTTTTCTCTTGGGTAACCGGGTGGCTCAGAGGATAAAACTTATTCTAAGGCAAGCCCAAAGAAAAAAAAGACACTGACACTAGCTCTCTGCTGGATTAAGTGGAAGGGGGAAAAGGAATCCTCAAGAACAGAAATAAAACAAAAGAATAACAAGAATACGACTTTTAAGCGACAGTAGTATCCTTCCTTGCTTGCTTGCTTGCTTGCTTGCTTGCTTGCTTGCTTGCTTGCTAAATGGATACCTGTGTCGATCTCCTTGCAGACAATCAGCTACTATCTAAAGCGCGCGCCGGTTTTCTCCTCAAATCCTGTTCGGAATTGGGCGCGAAATCCGGGCGTCCAATCAGCAGCGGCGGGCTCCGCCCCTCTTTGTGACGTTAAGTCACTATCGGCCAATCGGCGACCGCGTGGCCCTTCGCGGGAATTTCGATTTCGCTCCCTCCCGCCGGGATCGTGTTTGCGCGGAAACAGACAGATTAAAACAGAAAGAGAAGAGCTCAGCATTGGCGGGAAAAGAGGGAGGGAGAGATATAGATATAGATATAGATAAAAAAAAGATATATAACTTCCACATTTATATTTCAGTCTTTATACAAATGCAGTCTTTCCTCTAATCCAAAAAAGTTCCTGTTTAAATATGATTGCAATGAAACCACCCCGACCCAAATTCTCGAATTGATTTCCAATCAGGCCTAACCGTTTCCTGAAGAATCTGCAAAGTCATTACCGGAATACTCACCGATTTTAAATAACGTCAGCACCTCCGATATTGCTTTGTCATGATGATTGAGCAGAGGGAATTTTTAATTGAAACTTATAAAGGCAAAATCTTTCGCTGTAATGGTGAAATTTAGTACAATTTTGAAACAACTGGCGGCAAAAACTGCAGTGTAAGCATAAGCGTTGCCTTTGCATTAGAGGAATAATGACGGATACTGTCAGAGTGGTACAAGTTTCACTGACATTTATTATGTCTATTTAGATAGATTTAATACCGCGGGTTAAATGCGTTAGCTTGAAATGCATCAATTCATTACTTTATTGACGAGCCTGGACGAAATAGAGTTGAACTTGCCGGGTATGAATATTTTTAGTGCATTTAAAAACAGCTTTGTGTAAATTTATATGTTTCTTTTTACATAAATGTACGAGTGGTTACAATTTAAAACGCACATATAAGTTAGTGAAAGGACATTTTTCTTCAGCCGACGTGCAAAGCTGATGTTTCACAATCAAAGTCCAACATTTTGGCTCCTATAAAACAAACAACAAACTATTGCCTTTTCTCAGCACCATCTAGCGGCTAAAAGTGCCATTAAATTGTGCTGTTCCGGCACAGCAGAAGCAACAGAGAGTTAGCATATCTTAAGAAGTTGAAACAGGTCATAAATTGGAGGGAGACCTCAATAGCAGCTTTACAAATTTTGAATTTAAAGGCCCGACGGCGCGATGAATGGAGGAGGTGGCAGAGTGAGGAGAAAACATGTGGAGATAGCCAGTCTAGAGACCCTCAGGCAACCCTGTATTTTCCATTATGTATTCCATTTGAATTGCCACAAGGTAAAGCCACTTCTTTTTTAAACTGGCTAACTGTCATACTACGACACTTATGAGAAATTCTCAGGGCATATAACTACATTGATGGAAAGGAATCATCGTTCCCAAGACACGCCATCTTGGCCTTATCCTTTCCAGCACATGCTTAGAAAGCATCACCTTGGATGAATTAGATATTTTAAGAGGTTAATAAACGGTATTACAGTTAGTTGATTTTTCACAGAATTGTTGCAGCACAGAGGAGGCCATTCAGCTTATAGTGACCTTACCAGATCTCCAAATGTGCAAATCACTTTGTACCCTTCTCTGGCCTTGTACCCCTGAACATTCTCCCTTTTCAGATAGCAGTATAGTTACTTTTTGAAAACTGAAAGAACTGTGGATGTTGTAAATCAGGAACAGAAACAGAAGTTGGTGGAAAAGCTCAGCAGGTCTGGCAGCATCGGTGAAGAGAAACCAGAGTTAATGTTTCAGATCCGGTAATCCTTCCCCAGTTCTGAGGAAGTGCTAAGCACTGAAGAAGCATTGTAATGTTGAACTTTTAACTTTATTTCTTTATTTTTCCAACTTTATACTCTACGTTTACTTCAGTGTTTTAAGATGGTGCCGGAGAGCGGTGACATTACACAACACTTTTCACTGTATTTGTAACAAATACATGTGACAATCAATTAATCACAGTTTCTCATCTCTGAGGAGAAAAATGTCCTAACTTTTCCAATTTATCTTCATAACTGAAGTTTCTCAACCCTGGAACTATTTTCACGAATCCTTTCTCCACCCTCTCCAATACCTTCACATCCTCCCTAAAGTGTGATGCCAAGAACCGGAGTCAGTATCCCAACTGAAGGTTACCGTATATAATTCAACAGAACCTCCTCGCTCTTGTAATCTATGCCCCTATTAATAAAGCCCAGAATACTGTACGTTTTATTACTGCTTTTTCAACCCGTCCTGTTCAACCATCTTCAATATACTCATTGTTGAGGGGAACAACCACAGGGGATCCCTGCACTGACTGTTTCCTTCCCGTTCCTTACTGTCACCCAACTGCCTTCGTTCTTGGGGGTAATTATGTCTCTGTAGCTCTGTAGCCACTGCCAGAATATATGATTTTACCTTCCCAGCAAACCCCTCGCACTCTCTCCCGACTCCTGCCGCTGAACAAATGGAGGATGGATGAACACAGGATCATCCAGGAGGCTGAGGTGGTGATAGAAATGAGCTACAGGGACAGAGTTACCCCTAAGAACGAAGGCAGTTGGGTGACAGTAAAGGAAGGGAAGCAGGGATCCCCTGTGGTCGTTCCCCTCAACAATAAGTATGCTGTTTTGGATACTGCTGGGGAGGGGGGGGGGGTGGTGGGACCTACCAGGGGTAAGCCACAAGGACCGGGTCTCTGGTCTCCAGCATCTGCAGTTCCTACTATCTCTGGTACAGGGTCTGGCTCTGCGGCTCAGAAGGGAAGGGGGAGAATAGTAGAGCAATTGTAGTGGGGGATTCAATAGTAAGAGGCACAGACAGGCGGTTTTATGAACGCGAACGAGATGAACGGATGGTATGTTGCCTCCCGGGTGCCAGGGTCAGTGATGTCTCGGATCGTGTCTTCAAGATCCTTAAGGGGGAGGGTGAGCAACCAGCAGTCATGGTACACATCGGTACCAATGACATAGGTAGAAAAAGGACTGAGAATGTGAAAAACGAGAACAGGGAGTTAGGTTGGAAGCTGAAGTCCAGGACAAACAGGGTAGTTACCTCTGGATTACTACCAGTGCCACGTGATAACGAGGTAAGAAATAGGGAGTGAGTGAAGCTAGACATGTGGCTACAGGGCTGGTGTAGGAAGGAGGACTTCCATTATGTGGATAATTGGAGCACATTCTGGGGAAGATGGGACCTGTACAGTAAGGACAGGTTGCACCTGAACTGGAAGGACACAAATATCCTGGGAGGGAGGTTTGCTCAAGCTATACGGGATGGTTTAAACTAGATTGGCAGGGGGTGGGGAACCGGATTTGTAATTCAGAGGATGAGGTATTCAGCCTTCCAACAGATGCAACAGGGAGTGAGGTTGTTAATAAAGAAATGCGGTTGATGGAGCGTAATTGTGGACACAGGGATGGTTTGAAGTGTGTATACTTCAATGCCAGAAGTATCAGAAATAAGGCGGATGAACTTAGAGCATGGGTCAGTACTTGGAACTACGATGTTGTGGCCATTACAGAAACTTGTGTAACTCAGGGACAGGAATGGTTGTTGGAAGTTCCGGGATTTAGATGCTTTAAAAGAAATAGGGAGGGTGGTAAAAGAGGCGGGGGAGTGGCATTGCTAGTCAGAGCTAGTATAGCAGCTACTGAAAGGCAGTTCGAGAATGATATGTCTACAGAGTCAGTTTGGGTTGAGGTCAGGAAGAAGAAAGGGGCAGTCACTTTGTTGGGGTTTTTTTACAGACCCCCTAATTGTTGCAGAGAAGTGGAGGAGTGGATTGGGAGACAGATACTGGAAAGGTGCAGAAGTCACAGGGTTGTAGTCATGGGTGACTTCAACTTTCCAAATATTGATTGGAAATGTTTTAGTTGTAATAGTTTAGATGGAGCAGATTTTGTCCAGTGCGTTAAGGAAGGATTTCTGACACAGTATGTAGATAGACCAACACGAGGAGAGGCCAATTTGGATTTGGTGCTTGGCAATGAACCGGGCCAAGTGTTAGACCTGTGGTAGGAGAGCATTTTGGCGGTAGTGATCATAACTCTGTTACTTTTACAGTAGTCATGGAAAAGGATAGGTACTTACAGCAGGGTAAGGTTTATAATTGGGGGAAGGGTAATTATAATTCTGTTAGGCAAGAACTGGGTAACATAAAATGGGAACAGATGCTGTCAGGGAAGAGTACTGTAGAAATGTGGAGATTGTTTAAGGAATGCAGACTGTGTATGCTCGATATGTTTGTCCCTAGCAGGCAGGGAAGATGCGGTCGAGTGAAGGAGCCTTGGTTCTCAAGAGAGATCGAACGACCAGTTAAGAGGAGGAAGGAGGCTTATATAAGGCTTAGGAAACAAGGATCGGAAAAGGCTCTAGAGGGATACAAGTTAGCCAGGAAGGAGCTGAAGTAAGGGCTTACGAGAGCTAGAAGGGGGCATGAGAAAACGTTGGCAGATAGGGTCAAGGAAAACCCCCAGGCTTTTCACACGTACATGAGGAATAAGAGAATGTCCAGAGAAAGGGTAGGGCCGATCAAGGATTGTAAAGGGAATTTGTGCACGGAGCCTAAGGAGATAGGAGAGGCCCTTAATGAATACTTTTCTTCGGTATTCACAACTGAGAGGGACCTAGTTGTAGGAGAGGACAGTGTGAAACAGGCTGGTAGGCTAGAGGAGGTGGATATTAGTAAGGAAGATGTACTAGGAATTTTGAGGAACTTGAAGATAGATAAGTTCCCAGGGCTTGATGGAATTTATCCAAGGATTCTATGGGAACAAGGGAAGAGATCACAGGGCCTTTGGCGATGATCTTTTCATCCTCACTGTCCATGGGTATAGTGCCAGAAGATTGGAGAGTGGCAAATGTCATTCCCTTGTTCAAAAAAGGGAATAGGGATAACCCCGGAAATTACAGGCCAGTTAGTCTTACTTCAGTGATGGGCAAATTATTGGAAAGGGCTCTGAGAGATAGGATTAATGATCACTTGGA